TTAACCCCCATGAACCAGTACAGCTGCAGCCTGGTGTTAAAGGGCACTGTGCACCTGGACATGCTGCCCCTCAGCTGAGACAAGTTCCAGGCCCTGACCACTTGTAGTTATTCACGGTCCATGGTACTTTTGGGGAGAGTTTGGTCCTGGTCAAATTCCAGCTTGAGTAATTGCATTTGGCCATTCTTAAAATCTCCTCGGCAGTTTCTGCCGGAGGTGGCAATCTCCATTCCTGTTCTGACCTGTTGCACAATCTTGCTGGGTGCTGTTAAACAGCTGTTGTGTTCCAAACCAGAAGTGGCTGTTTTCATTAGTGGGTCAAATGATCCTTTTGCATCTCCATTACTTACCTCAGGAGGGGAGGCAGTGGGGCTTATGTTTGTGAGCTTCTTTGAGATGAAAGATGCTAGAGCAAGATGAATAAAATGTAGTCACCAGATGGTGCTTAAATTTCTATTTATTTAAAAAATCCAGCTGTAAAGAGCAACTCTAAACTGCCTTTATTTCTTTCTGTCCTCTCCACCGACGTGCAGGAAGGACAAGGATACGACAAAGAGTTTACTGAATGACAAGCGACTGATAGCTGAGCAGAAGGAACGCTACAGCCAGTACAGTGTGATCGTAGAGGAGGTCCCTGAGCAGGAGGGGGAAGCCCAGTTCTATAGGGTTGACTATGAGGATGAATACGACGACACCTATGATGGCAACCAGGTGGGGGCGAACGATGCTGACTCAGACGATGAGCTGATCAGTAGGAGGTGGGTACAGCATCTTTGGCCAACAGGAAGAGGATGGTTGGTGTGTCCTATAAGCCACGTGTCTGCACACTAGCACAGAGCCCGGTTGAAAATGCTCATCCTGCACACAGGTCTCCGCTGCCCATGCTTCTGCTCTCACCCCAGACAGAGGGGCTTGGAGACACCTCTCTGCTCTTTCTGCTCCCAGCCTGGAGGAGGGGTTTCTGGGTCTCCCCTTTCCCTTGCTGGTCAGGGAGCTTCTCCCAGCCATGGGAACAGGGAGTTGTCATGCTCCCCATTCCTCCTATACCTCCTTTCCTTTCTTCATGTGTGGAACCAAATGCTGCCTGAGCTCAGTTTTAAAACCTGAGCGGGAGGCTTTGCTCAGAGACGTTAAGCTTTCACTGAGACAGCACTTCACTCTGCACACAGAGGGGAACGCTGGTCATTGGGGATGGAGGATGTGAATTGGCCTCTTATGCTTGTTTCTCCCCCCATCCCAATGCAGAAAAGCCGCTGGGCAAACAGTAAGAAAAAGCTGACCTCTGTTCTTGCTTGTTTGGCAAGTCCCTCCCCCCACCCTGGGCACAGGCTCTTCTGTGATCTAGTGATTAGAGCATGCAACCGAGAGTTCTGGGCTCCACTCCACTGCCTCGGCATGTGACCATCACCTCTCTCTGCCACAGTCTCACCATCTGCAAAATAGAGCTAATACTAAGTTGGCTCCCAGGGGTATGAGGGTTAGCTGAGAGTTAGAACTGAAAAACATTAATTCTAAGAGCATGGCTAGAGGTATGTTGGGAAAAGGAATGAGATTTTGACAGACAACCAAGTATGCACACCCACTCTTTCTCTCTCTTTCTCCATCTTTTGAAAGCTGTAAGCTTAACATTTCTCTTGTGATTTACAGAGTAATTTTCCAGCCATAACAGCATTTTCAGGAAGCAGGAATTGTACCATGTTAACAGGCAGTGCTAACCCCATTTAAAACAAAATATTTCTCTTCTCTACTTTTTTCTTCTTTTGGAATCTTCCTAAAGAGTTCTAGGGACTTGAATAAAAACTTCCTTACGGTTCACCTGTAACACATTGGGGCTTGATCTTCAGGAGTTGTGAGCACCCACCCTTCCCACTGGCTTTTCTGGGAGATCTGAGGGTGCGCAGCACTTCTGAAGATCAGGCCTGGGCGTCTGATATAAAACAAAGGCTGTTGTACTTTTGGTTTTAAGTTTTATTTTCCTTGGTGACACAACCACAGATTTAAAATCAAATGGAATCCTTTAGAAGAACTACATTAGAGCCAGAAATAAAGGGATAGTTTTTCTCTTCCTCGCTCCAGGCCTTTGCACTGCTCGAGGTGTGCAAAGGGGCCATAAAGCCGATGGATTTCCTCCTGTGTGAAAGACTCCCCAGCAAAGCCAGCATAATGGGTGCAACTGAGAATCAATGGGACAACCTCTGACCAATCATAGCAGTTTTAAAGTGGGGACTATTTTGAGCAGATACCTGATTTTAATATGGTGTGCACGTAATGTGAGTTGATATGCCTACATACAACCCTCAGTCCCATCGCTGTCTGTGTGCTGAGGTCTAGAGAGAGTTAACCATCAAATGCCATTGCTCTATGCAAAATGCTTTCTGGGTGGTCTCCTAAAGGAAGGCAAAAAGAAGAACAGGAGTACTTGTGGCACCTTAGAGACTAACAAATTTATTAGAGCATAAGCTTTCGTGGACTACAGCCCACTTCTTCGGATGCATCCGAAGAAGTGGGCTGT